TTAGAATCAATTGAAATCCGCAGTAGTCTTCCCATCAAAAGGAGTAGAAATAAAATTCTCCCAATGGTGGCCATAACTCAGAGGAAGCCAACAGAAAGAGAAAGCTGAGAGGTTGCATTGTTAGCAAAGCTATTGCCAAATTGAAGGGCATGACTCTCCACACTACCATGGTGGATAGAATTCTGTTACCTAAATATTTTAAAACTATGAATAGCTTCCAATGCACACACAAATGTAGATTTCTCTACAATTTTCAGGAGGAAGCTCTAAGACTGCAAGTGAGTGGCTGACAAAGAATAGCAAAAGATGTAAAGAACTTGGATGACTGGCTATGTCTGGGAAGAAATAAAATTTAGCTAAATCACACAAAGAGTATAGGAAATAGTTGTTTCTCCAGGCTTACGTTACCTGAACAGTGAATTATATGCAGGGTTCATTAGGAAAAGATGTTAACACCTCTTGGACTTTTAGAAAACAATCCTTACATAGTCAGGATGGCATGATTGCTATTTATTGATGGTGTTTATTTTCTGTTGCTATATAACAAATTACCTCAATCTTAATGGCTTAAAACAATGCCCACCTATGAGTTCAGAGTCTGTATGTCAGAGCCCAGGCACAGTGTGACTAGGTTTCCTACTTAGCATTTTACAAGACTGAAATTCAGATGTTTACTGTGATGTATTCCCTTCTAGAAGTTCATTCTTACTGTCAGCTGATTCAATTCTTCGTCCGTTGTAGGACTGGGGTTCCTCTTTGCTTATTATCTGTCAGCTGCCCTCAGCAACTAAAGATCTCCTGCATTCCTTCCAACATGGTCCTCTCCATCTTTAAAGCTAGCAATGACATATTGAATCCTTTTGTTCTTTGAATCTGTCTGACTTCCCTGTCTCTGACCTCAAGACTCAGATATAAAGCTCCTGTGATTAAATCACTCCTGCCCAGATTATCTTCTTATAAGGGCAACAGATTTGTGGCCTTAATTACATCTGCAAAATATCTTCACTGCAACACTGAAGTTTGAAAGTATTTGTATACCAGGGCAAACAATTGGGTGTGTGTGTGTGTGTGTGTGGGAATAATCTTAGAATTTTCCAACAACACTGGCTTTCAATTTTAGAATCTACCTTAGATTCTAGGCCAGTAGCTCTCACCAGGATGAGGAGTGATTTTGATCCCTTTGCCCAGGGAATATTTGCAATATCTGGAGATATTTTCGGATGCCATCTAGTAAGTAGAGGCCAGATGTACTGCTAATTTATCTACACTATATACGAGAGTTCCCACAACAATTATCCAGCCAAGATATCAATAGTTCCAGGGTTGGGAAACACTACTTTAAACAAAGCAGGAAAGCCTTTATTATTATAATACAGTTAGTTGCCAACCTCAGCCACGTAAAGGTACAAGTAGAACTGATGAAGCACAAGGTGGAATGTGGGAGGATTGCAAGAAAAGGAAAGGAGAACAGGATATAAGCTACACCTTACACAAAGAGGCAATGGACTAATGAATGGAAGGAAGGTAAAATATTCAGAGTTACAAATAATAATCATTAAGCTATCAAGCACTAAGATGAGGAGGAAGAGAGGAAGGGAAGCATGGAGTAATAAGTAGGCAATAAATATTGCCCAACCTTGATAAATAAATGATACTCTAAGCATTTCATCTGAAATGATGGAGCCAACCATCAAACAAACTAAAACTTTTAAAAGGGTTAAAACAAGTTGCCTCAAAATATCAAGTCTAGGAATAGGAATGATAGAGTTCAAATATGCTTTTTTTTTGTTACAAATTCTGCTCTCCGTTTGATTTTTTTTCATGACACACCTAATAAAAATGTAATTAATGTTAAACATGTAATTTTAATACAGTGTAATAAGAATGCAATTTTAAAAAAGAAAACTTAGAGTGTTAACCAGGGTCATTTAATTGTAATACAGTATTTCAGGATAGTAACAGTATTTACTCAGCACAATAATAATACACAATGCAGTAACAGTGACACAATAATGTTTTAGTAAGCATATATGTTAACCTGTAAGTTGGAATTTTTTAAATTCTAGTCTCTTGTGCACACAGTCCTCAGACAAAGGTTCAGTCATTTACAACATAAAATCAGCATGTTTTCTGTTGCTGTAACAAATACTGGAGATAAATCAACTTAAAAGGAGGAAAGGTTTACTTTGGCCTGATTTGGGGAGTTTCCAGTCCATGCTCAGTTGGTCTATTGCTTTGTGCCTGTGATAAGGCAGCACACCACAGTACGTGGTGGAGAAGGCTGTTTTCCTCTTGGAGGTAGGGAAGCAAAGAGAAGGAGGAAGGGACAGGAGTTCCAATATCTCCTTCAAGGTCACACCCCCAGTGACTTAATATCCTTCCACTAGGACCCACCCACTGAAGGTTTCATCACTCTCAATAGCGGGTTGGAGACAAAGACCTCAACATATGGCTTTTTGAGGACACTTATCCAAACCATAGCAATCTGTTTTTTAAATATATCCAATAACTAAGTATGGTGGTGCACACCTGTGATCTGGATACTTGGGAGGCTGAGGAAGGAGGATCACAGGTTTACATCCAGCCTGGGCAACTTAGCAAGACCTGTCTCAAAATAAAAAAAAAAAAAATTAAAAAAAAAAGAGTTGGGAATATAGCTGAGTGGTAGAGCACTTGCCTACCATGTGTAAGATTCTGGATTCAATTTCCAGTACTGAAAAAATTATCTATCTATTTATCTACCTACTTACTTACCTACCTATTTATCTAATCATATAAACTACTGTTATTTATAGATACCCCAACATTGTGTAGACTTATAGATCTGGACTAGAAATCAAGACCAAATGAAAATACCTTAAATTGTTGGTTGAAAAGATTAGACACCACTTTTTTTTCTCTTTTCCTTCATGTTGGTTATTGTGATTAATTTAAAACTCGTGACTTAAAGTTACTCTTTGTCTGGTCGGTGGCGGTGACTTAGAACAAAGCAGACCGCCAGGGAAAGAAACATCAATCAGGCGCCAACGGACAATCAGCAGGACTAATGCCTGTCAATCATCAGGATGATGATGGGGTTGAGAGCAAGGTTGCTGTAATAACACTGCCCCGGGCCAGTCAGTAGGCAGGCCCAGGACACCCAGGACACAAGATGCCTGATACAGCAGCTCCAGCTCTCTAATGGCTGTTTGTGACAACTGGGCTATAAGTATATTCCCTGCCAAAAAAGGAGTGGCACAATGGGAATCAACTTACAAGGTGATGGAAAAGTGAGTGAGGAGGGGGAAAATGACTTAAGGTGTAAAAATCACTGCACAGGAGGAAACTCTGGACTCCTAACAATGGAGTACTGGGGAGTCAAGCAGAGTTCCCGCCCCCCAGCATCAGAATTTATCAATCCAAATGGCAATAGCTACTCAAACTGGCATTTTAAAGTACTCTTCAGGCCTGGGGTGTAACTCAGTGGAGGGCGTTTGTGTAGTATGCCCTGGGTCTGAACTCCAGACTCTCTCTCTCTCTTACATACACACACACACACACACACACACACAATAAAAATAAAGTACTATTCAGAATATACTTTTCTATTTAGAAAACAAACACCAATGTTTATAAAGTCTAAATGACATAATAAGTACAGAAATTCACATAGGAAACTTATACCAAAAATTATAAATTCAAACCTGATCTTAAGGAAGCAACCAGATAAGCCCAGAACATGAAACAGAGGCTGGTTTAGAGTCTTTTTTAAAAGTTCATACCATCCAGGTGTGGTGGCACACACCTGTAATCCCAGCAGAGGCTGAGGCAAGAGGACACAAGTTTGGGGTCAGCCTCAGCAATTTAGTGAGATCCTGTCTCAAAATAAAATAAAAAGGGCTGAGGATATAGCTCAGAGATGGAGCACTCCTGGGTTCAATACTCAGTACCAAAAAAAAAAAAAAAATCTATGCCATGAAGAAATAAAGGGGGACAAAAAAGAGGGATTTCCTTAGATTGAAAGATAATAATAATAATAATAATAATAATAACAACAATTAATTGCAGTATGTGAAACTTAATTGATTCCTGGATTTTAAAAAAACTACATTAAATGATCAGGGGAAATTTGAATATGGAATATATATATAAATTCATGTGCATACTCATAAATATGATGAAATTATTAATTTTTGGTATAAAAACTAATAATATAATTTAAAAAATAGGATATATCTTTATTCATGTGGATGCCAAGTTATAACATTAAAAAGAAATTAGGAGTGGAGGATAGCTATGATTTAAATGTGTCCCCCAAAAGTTCATGTGTTGGAAATTTGATGCTCAAATTTATGTGCTGATAAATAGCAGGCGAGGTCTTTGGGAGGTAGAGTATAATGCAGCAAAAAAGTCTTCCAGATACTAAGAGGTATTGTCAGAATTCCCAGTCTCCAGAATCCTAAGCCAAATAAACTTTTTAAAATTCTTTAGACATTAGCTGGACTCAAGTATTTTATTATAGTAACAGGAATATGGACTAAAACAAGAGTTATGATGTTTGCAACTTCTTTTTAAATGATTTATCAAAAAGTTACATATTTATATAATATTTCATATATACACAAAGAAAGAAAGAACAGAGAGAAACCAAGTGTGGCAACATATTAACAATGATTAATCTAGGTGAAGGTTACACAGGTGTTCCTTGTACATTCTTTCAACTACTCTGTAGGTTAAGAAAACTTTATAATAAAAAAGTTGTAGAAATTATATCTGTATGCTCCTCTTCACATGTCATATGAAGATGAGTGTTAAATTTTCATTTCATTTTTTTTGGTTAGTGTATTACTGGCTACCTTTCCATACCATGCAGTGGTTCATTTACAAAAAGAACAACATTTTGTTTTGCACTGTATGCTTTCCATAAGAAAAATTCAGATGATAAATTTATAACCAACCACAGCCAAGCGCCTTGAGGAATCCCCTATGTGGAAACATCTGCAAACTCTGTGATGAGGGGTTCAGAGGCCACGTGCTTCCTGTTTACCCCCATGCACCACTTTGCTGTTCCTCTGGTGGTGTTTCTTCTGGCAGACTTTGCCTTTGCCATTTTTCTTGGCTGCTTGTGCTCTCATCCACTGCTTAATGGTGTGATTGTGTGGGCTGACGCAGATTCTCCTGCGTTTGATGTGAAGGCTGCCAAGAAGGGAAGAAAAGTCATCACTAACAGAAAGTACAAATGGACAAAAAGTTAGTGGCTTGTAAGCAGCCCCCACTTTGGGGGACTGTAATCTCAGGGACTGGATCCTAAAACCGAGGACCACAAGCTTACATCCTGACTGTGTGCACACTGCTGTCTGTGGTCTTCAGACAGCTGCAAGGAGCCTTAAAAGAAGAAGAGGAGGAGTTGGGTGAGGATAACGAGGAAGAGGAGGAGGAGAAAAGAAAGAAGGAAAAATAAAGAGAAGGAAGAAGATGGGGAGCAGGAGTAGGGGGAAAGGAGAAAAAAGAATCAGAAAAACTGAGGGAAAACAATTCTCTTCCCTGCCTAAGCTTCACCCAACAAAACCAACGCACACTCAGCATCCATCTCAAACATGTTCTTCTCTGCAAGGGTTTCCTGGGTCCTCTCAGCTATATACCCTGATTTCTTCCCTGTGAGTCTTCATGGTGAGAGTTACCTCTATGGTGGCACTTATTTCACTGTCTTTGATTTGAGTTCTGATCTCATGACTCCTACTGAAGTTTTGGCCCTTCAGGGAGGAACAGTCCAGGCATGTTCCTCATATATAAATATATACATATATATAAATAAATATATAGAGGGATCATATATATACATTTATTTAGATTAATGAAACAATTTTATTTATGAAGAAGTGTTTGCTCATTTAGTGGACCTTTATTTTATTTATTTATTTATTTATATTCAATGCTGAGAATCGAACCCAGTTCCTCACACATACTATGCAAGCATTCTACCACTGAACCACAACCCAGCCACCCCCCAGGTGTATTTCTGAAAAGACCTTATTCACAGTAGGAACCCTGTCACTCACTTCGTGTATAAAGTGAAAATTGTTTAAAATACAGACAGTCTGGTTTTGTTTTCAACAAAACAGTCAACTAAAATATTTTAGGCCTTTGTTAAACTTCACTGTTACGTGGTTCTACATCACGGCTCAGAATTTGTGTTCATTTTCATTTTTCTATATGAAATTTTGAGATTGAGGTGGGAGAACCCTCAGGCAGCAATTGTAATTTCTGGTAATTAAAAGTTCTTGTTACAAAAAATAGTGCAACCTTTAATCCTCCATCAGGTGCCAGGCAGCTCTGATGAAATGTTACAAATCCTGCTGTCTCTACATGTATATATTTCTTTTTTCTTTTCTTTTCTTTTTTTTTTTTTAATAAGCACTCTACTGACTAAGCTATATTCTCAGCCCTGATCTGTAATCTTTTTTTTTTAATATTTTATTTACATTTTAGTTTTCGGCAGACACAACATCTTTGTTTGTATGTGGTGCTGAGGATCGAACCCGGGTCACACCATGCCAGGCGAGCGCGCTACCACTTGAGCCACATCCCCAGCCCCCATGTATATATTTCTGTGTCTTGATAAATCGAGTCCCTTGGACGTGTTATTCAGCGAGGAATGTGGGAGTTAGAGAATAGGCTGCTGTTTCTCCAGATGTCCCAAGTGGCACTCTCAAACAAGGTCGGGAAAGTGGGGAAAGGTGTAATGAGCGTTAGTATGATAAAGCCAGCCTGTGGGGGGTGTCTTAAGAGGATAATATGTTCCCTAACTGTATTAGACTGAGAGGGTTTCAAAGAAAAGCTGATTCTCACTATGGTTAATTGATTTGCTGTTATAGGAGAAAAGATGCTGTAGCATTGCTGTGAAGGAAGAAAAAAAGAAAAGAAAAGAAAACTAGTTGAAGCTCCTACTCCTTCCAAAGACTCTTACTGACACCTTTCCCTGTGGTGTCAGAAGGAACCAGAGTAAAGACTTCATTGACATCTCTGGTAACACATGAGAAAATTAGGACTCAGTTCTGTGAATAAAGTAAGATGTGCTGAGCTTCAGGTTGTAGGCTTGGTACTGGGGAAGAAGGAGAAAACAGAGTGGGGGCAGGGGATAGGCAGGAGGCATGCAGACAGGTGGAGGGAAAACAGGTAGCAGCTCCCACGTGGGATCCTTTTTAAGGCCTGCCTGTATTTCAAGGGGCGGGGGGAGGGGGAGAATCAAGCTTCCAGAACACAGCTCCCAAATCTGAGATGCTGTGATGCTTAGAAGTCTGAAGTGTAACAACTGGTAAAACTCCATTTGTATCCTGTGTGCTTTCTGTCAGGACAAAAAGAAATGGGTGATGTTGGAAAAGGAGGCAGCCTATTCCACACTTCTCCCCATACCCCTAACTCCATCATTTCCTCACAGGTGCCTACCCATCCCATTGTGAATTTCTAGGGTAAGAGTTTTGACTCTAAGAAACCATTAGCTTGATCCACTGATTCTTTTCTTCACTGAAGTGTAGTTAGAAACAGTCCAATGGACCAGTCCTGCCATGGAGAGTATACCTAGGATTGTGCCCTAAACTTTATTTCTTCACACATTCCTCTAAATGCAATGGCCCTTTACAACCACTTCTGAAAAACCTAGATAACTTTATTTAATTATCCAAAAATTTCTCCCAACTGATAACCTCTATAGAAATCAAGAAACCTCAACTCTCTGCTTGAGATAACAATTTCCATTGTATTTATGTTCAGAAATAGCTTGAAGCTCTTTAATGAAGTCTCTGTAGAGGGGTTTAAGCAAGCAAACTGCTCTCTTAGGCATCAAAAGCTACAATGATCATTTATAGACCTGAAAACAAATTAACTCTTCCCAGGCAGAAAAGGAAAAGAAACCTAGTGAGTTCACTGTAAATCAATTTATATTAATTAATTGCGATTTATATTTCTAGTATGAGCAATCTTTTCTGTATCTTAAACATTTGCCTCTAACCTTGAAATCTTTGAACATAGTCAAGGTTAAGGGACTATATTTTAGTTAAGTAATGATATATTCTATAGTATATCATTGAAAAACAAGAATATCCTTATGTTGAATTTCAGAAAATACAACAAGGAAGCTCTATAATTTATGACTAAAAAGTATATGAGTCAAAATTTCATTTCACTTGAGGCTTGGTCCCAACTGCTCTATATTTTTTTAGCTTTCTTATCAGCACAGAGAAGTCAATTTACAAATTTTTGCTTGAATAAAGTAAATATTTTTAGATCCAGTTAATGGCTTTATAGTTTCCTTTGAATTAAAGTCTAATTCTTTTAAAAAGGTAGACTCAAGCTGGGATTGTAGCTCAGTGGTATCGTGCTTGCCTAGCGTGTGTGAGGCACTGGGTTCGATTCTCAGCACCACATACAAATAAACAAATAAGTAAAATAAGGTCTATCAACAACTAAAAAAAGTATTTTTTTTTTAAAGTAGACTCATCTTTCTTTTCTACTTTTCCTTGTCAAAATGAGATTGACGTTATTTTTGCTCTTATGCCTTTCAGATCTCTGATACCTGCTTCTCCCAAAGAAAATATCTCTGAAAATTCTGTTAACAATGGGGTGCTCTGGCAATTCCCAGTCTTTTAGTCTTAAAACCATGGGAACTTCCTCTGGATTCTCTAAGCCTTCCTGGAGTCCCTTGTAAAAGTCCTCACAGCTCCTTTAGTCCAAGGTGCTGAATACCAGAGAGGGAGACGAAATGGAGAGCAGCTGAAAATGGTGTTTCTGAGGGCAGCCAGAGCAGCGCCTCAGGCAGATTTAGTTCCTGTGTGAACCCTACAAAAACATCCAGATGATTCCAATTAACTAGAGCATGGACTGTGAATCACCCATGAATTTTTCACTCTCCTACTATTACCAACAGTAGCTATTAAGATTAAAGACTGAGGGAATCTTGGCCAAGCAATACTAAAGAGATTTTTCAGACAAGTTGGGAACTTGAAGCACCTCTCAGAATGCACCTCATTACTATGCATTATTTCCAGGATTACCCCAGGTTATGTTGACTTCCAGTGACTAAATCATCTGAGCTGATGGAGCCAAGTAATGGTGGAACTGAGAAAGTGCTGGAGAGTTAGTTCTCTGTCCTCTCGCTTCTCCCACAAAGACACTAATGCTTATTAAAAAGTTTGTACCAATAATTGTCTCCTCCCCAAAACCTGATCCCAAGTATAGTTTTTAACTTTATTAGATCTCAGATCCTATAATTAATTAATAATTAATAATCTAATAAGACCTATGGATCTTCTGCCCAGAAGCGTGTTCAGAGGTTTATACACAATTCCCGGGAGGTCATAGCCCCATGACCTGAAGAAATTAATATGTATTTTACAAACTCTTCGCCTGTTAAGAAACTTTGTCTTAGAGTAGTGTCTCTTAAAGTTGGATAGTGAATAGATTCCTCTAAAAGGGGAAAAAACATATCTGCAATCCATAGATTATTTAAATCATTGGAGATGGTCTGCAGAACCCAGCTGGACACATTGTCTCCCAGAGACTCAAGGAGGGCTGAGCCCACAGTGTCACTGCTGCATCCCCAGCACATGGAATGATACTTAGTACATAACTGCTGATCAATAAATAGTTATTGGACTTGATGAAATAAGGATGTTCCTGAGTGACTCAGGAGCTCAGGCATAAGTAATGCAGATATTTATAGACCAAAGAAAGGGATACCAAATGGCTCACTATCATTACCTAAAGCCACAGATGATGTGAAATCTAGAATATCGGGGAGATGCACCACACCTGAATGCAATGGAGTTTGGGAGAATCATTTATGGTTAGTCCAGTATTCTTTTTGAGTGACTTTGGAGATATGTAGTGTTCTGAACCAAGAGAACTAGGTACACATCTCATTTCTGCCATTCCCTAGCTGTAAGATGTCAGGTGAACATGCCCTTCCAATCAAAGCTTTCTCCTGAATGTGACAGCAATATAATGTATGCCTTCCTCCAAGCATTCTTGTCAGAACTCAGATTTGCTAAATACCAATGTCGTTCAGGTTTCAAAGCCTCTTTAGAGGCTTTGAAGTTAAGTACAGATACATCTAAAGTTTTTAATAACTGAGCCATGGTGGGATGGGAAGGGTAGGAGCAGTAGGAGGGTTCATATGAGCCAACGCCCCACCCCAAATAAAAACCAGAGCAGAGGCTGGAGATGTAGCTCAGTGGTGAGTATCTGCCTAATATGCCCAAGGCCCTGGGTTCACAGTACCATTAAAGAAAAGAAAAACAACAAACAAAAATAGAAAAGGACATTTGTAACTGGAGCACATGGCAGCACTTGCGACAGGTACAGACATTGCCACACTGCTTTCTGAACCTTATAAGTACACTCCTTATTTGGAGAGTGAAAATAACAGCAGCTCAGATACAGCTAAAGCCATGATACATAACAGAATTGCCTTTTGTTTGCTGTTTTGTTTTATTGTTCAGAATCTCTCGTTTTGCTGAGGAAAGTTGTGAATATTTTCTGGCCACAAAGGGCATTGAGCCCTAGCCCAGCACTGTAACAGAAAGAGCTAAGCTGGAGTTCCAGTGTAAGGCTGAGGACATTCCTGTACAGAAAGACTGTGCATTTACTCCAGGGAACCTAGCGCTAAAAGGACAGAATATTTATTCTTCCTTTGTTTGGAAGGATATTTAAGTGCAACATATCAAGTAAAGCCTTTCAATCTATTGTTACTTGGCCAGGGAAATAATCAGCATGAAGATAAACCTGCTGACGGTTTCACTCACATGACAGCTGCCAAGTCACAGTCCCCATCAGCTCTCTGGATGCGACATGAATTCACCCTTTCTAGAAGTCTTCTGGAAATGTGATGTGAAACCTCAGTGCAACAGCTGGAAGCAATGGGAAGTATGGCTAAAAGAAGAAAAGAAAGGAAATATCACATCTTACGGTTCACAGAACCCTGACACAGTTCTCATCTTAAAGATTCCATACAGTCTTTAATCCTCTCAAGCAAGGGCAAACAAGGCTTCATGAACTCAAACAGGGACAGGATGCAGCTCTAGCTTCTGGAACTTAAACTGCATTTGTGGGAGATAAAAAATAAATTTAGGCAAAGGGACAAATCAAGTGAAGGAGATGAAAAAAGCTGTAGCCAAAGGGGTTGCAGGCTGACTTGATCAGAGATAAAAAGTGAAGTTAATGGTGTCCCACACGATGCAGTTTGGAAGAGAGAGACCACATGGATCCCTGGAATATTCTGAGTTTCCAAAAAGGGAAGGATGAAAGACGTGGCTGAATGTTAAAGGATTTGGAAGGGTGGAGAAAAATGGGAGACTTGTGCAGACTAAGAGAAATGTGTGGTTAAGGGTTCTGAGGCAGAAAAGCCCAAGGCACATTTAGGGTATGGACTAAAATAGACCATGTTTCCTAAATTGAGTAGCTAGAAAGGTGAGTGATGGGAGATAAGGTTCAAAAGACACTGAGGTGAGGCCACATAACTGAGGCTACGAATGTCAGCATAAGGAGGCTTGTCTTTTATAAAAAGGGGATTCAAAGTTTGAGAAAGGGAGAGTGTTTAGGAAAATCCATCTTTTAGCTATAAGCAAGATGGATTAAAGTGGAGAGTGAGTAGAGCAGAAGGTGAGGCTAGAAGGAGATTTTGTCACATAGATGTAAGGTATTTATAGCAAAAATATGAAAAGAAATATGATTTCCAAACTAAAATATGTATTTACAAACTCCTATATGCCATGTGACACAGTATTCTCCTGTGCATCCCATTCCACCAATTGGGTAGTGACTAAAATAAATTATAAATTACAGTCAACAGTGACTGCAGGTGGTAGCCTCTTAGAGGACAGAAGTTCGTTCTTGAATTGGGGATTAAAAGAAACACCTCTTTTAATTGGGCAGGCCCAAGATGACTATATTTAGGCTCCCTTGTTGAGGATTTCAGCACGCTATGTTTTCAGTGTGTAGTCAAAGTCATGAACACCCTGATTCAGTATATGTATGTATGTGTGTATATATATATATATATATATATATATATATATATATATATATACACACACACACACACACACACACACACACTCAAGATCATAAACATTTACTTGTGAGCACACACCCACTAATGTAACCAGTTGGCAATGTACCTTCTTTGGCCTGCATTAAAAAAAAAAAAAAAGCCTATGGAAATGGCTCAGGGGGCTAAATGGACCTGGCAAAGTGGTGCTAAATGAAACTGGGGCAAAAATGGGACTGAAGCTGGAGTGTGGGGGCTGCTGCTGGCTCTGAATAAAGAATGTTTACTCTCCCAACTGCATCTTGCATCTTCCACTGCCAAGATCCTGAATGTGTTTCCCAGGTTGGAACCTCCACCCAACAACTTCTCAGTGTTAGCTCTAAGCAATGGGAGTCCTTGGGAGAAGGGGTTCTCTATCTATGTCTTATCCACATGTAAACATCTGGCCTACTTACAGTTTTGGAGAAGAAAATGAGTTGGCTATGAAATGTAAAATATCTATGTCACTTCCTAGTTATCAAAATTTTTGGTTACCATTCATTAAATCACTTATTCATCTAATTATTTGACAAATGTTTATTGAGCAGTTAAAATGTTTTAGGCAAAAACTAGTCGCTGGGGTGATACAAAAATAAATAATATGTTCCTATTCTCAAGAGGCTGTAGTAGAGGAGACAGATTTGTAATTAAATGCTTAGGATGCAATCCTATTGGCTCATGTAATTATACTTCTGGAATTCACACAAGTTATAAAGACAAGTGCACAGCTGTTTACTATAAAAAATAGCAGAGAATGTCTAAATGTCTATCAAAAAAAGTAAAAAACTGTTGCAACAAAGAAGTTCATTGCATACTGATAAAAGGGTCATATTAACTTTATTTTAGTCCACTTTCAATAGTGGATAAATCATGTAGGCAGAAAGTCAATAAGGAAACCACTAACTTGAACAACATTAAAGACTAAATGAACTGAGCATTGTGGCATATGTCTATAATCCCAGCAACTCAGGAATCTGAGGTAGGAGGATTGCAGATTCAAGGCCAGCCTCAGCAACTTAGTGAGACCCTGTCTCAAAATAAAATAAGGGCTGGAAATGTAACTCAGTGGTTGAGAGTTCCTGGGTTTAACCTCCATCCAGTACTGCAGAAAAAAGAAAAAAAAAAAAAAAAGAAGTGATTGTCACATTAGTAAAATATCATCGGTATTTATTTTCTGCCCTCATTGTACCTGTCCTGGGGTGCTTACAATGAGAAGACAGCCTTCTAGCCTTATCTTACTGGACCTTCCTACTTCATTTGACAGTTACCCATTCCTTCCTTGAAAATTTCCATAAACCTTGTTTACTAGTCTCTCCTAATTCTCCCAATACTGAGAAATTATTTTCTCTGCCTCTTGAACACCTTCTCCTTTGCTCTGTCCCAAATACTTATCATTCTCAAAGTTCCATCCCTAACATACACTCTTTTCTTTCTACATCTTCTCTTGCTTTATTTTTTAATTAATCTTTATTTATATATGACAGCGGAATGCAGTACAATTCTTATTACACATATAGAGCACAATTTTTCATATCTCTGGTTGTATACAAAGTATATTTACACCAATTTGCATCTTCATACATGTACTTTGGATAATAATGTCCATCACATTCCACCATCATTTCTAACCCCATGTTCTCTTACTTTAAATCACTACTAGTCAGTATCTACAAATCATCTGCCAACCTCTACTCAAATATTCTGCCACATATCTAACTGCCTTGAAAATGTACTTGGATATCCCACAATCATCCTTCCTGAAGATTTCATCTCCTATCACTTTTAATCTACTTCCTTTTTCCTTTTCTCTTCTCATGTAATCACCCTGTGCCATTACCTAAGTCAGAAACCCATGGATCATTCCATCTTCCTCCTGCACTCCATGTAGCCAGCTACACATTCCTTGACATTTCTTTGATCTGTCTTCTCTCCATCCCTGTTCCAACTACTCTTCAGGAGCATGTGAGTTGGCTTCTGGACTACTGAGCTTACATTTATCTTATTCCAATCTTTCCTTTTCCCATTTGAAAATTTGAAATTGCCAGAAAAGCTCTTGGATAGAGAGAATAGTTCTTTAGGGTCCCTACCAGAGGTTTATAAAACCCCATTTGAGAAGTCTCACCACACTCTGCTTTCCTATACAGTTAAGTCTTTAATTACATCTGACTGCCTTGACTACTCCACAAGACATCTTTGGATCCCACCACATAGCACAGTGCCTGGCATAGTAGTAAACAAGTGTTTCTTGAGTTGAGAAACATAAAATAGTTTTATATTAATGTTTCATTTTATATTTTTAAAGGCTTTTAATATAATTAAAATATTTTATTTTTTAAAGAAGATTCTCAGTTTGGGGGCAAGGTGATTTTCTAAAATCACAGAATGTTTTCAATAACACCATCCTTCCATATTCAAACAATTAGGAGTCAACTCAATATGATAAATTGTTTGTCAATTTAATATTTTTAGCTAAAAATATTAAATACTAATCATATCTGATTAAAATCATTACTGTTTGTCTTACTCTTATGGTTTTATTTCTATTGATTCTGTTGGTTTGGGACATTGTCATTATTGTTTCCAGCATAAAATTCCATTATTAAATGTATGAGTGCTGTGCCAGAAATTCTGGTCCCTGTTCTAGTTCTGAGATCCTATTTTGGTCACTAGAGGGCTCTAAAGATGTCTCCATGCTCCAAACCTGAAGCACCAAGCAACCACATTTGTGATACAAAAGTTAGATTCTGGATTTTAAGAAAAGGATTCTATTACTGTGGAGAGGTGACACAGCTTCCTCTCTTATTTGGATGTATTGTACAGTATCTTGTTACTCAAAGTGTGATTCCCCGAGCTGCAGTTGAGACAGCCCCTGGGATCCTAATAGTGGAGTGAAAAGCACCATCACATAAAACACAGCCACACAGAAACACAGTCAAGAAATGTGCGTGCCATTGATGGAAAAAGGATTTACTCAGCTGAGGGCCGTGTCTCACGGTTATGGGTGCAGTTTTAAAAGGGCAATAAATAAATCCACATAATGTTCAGAATTAGTTGATTGGAAACACATCTGCCCATTTTGGTGGACTTCATACCTTAGTGCAGTCACATCATGCTGTGGATGCCAACAGAGGTGCTCACCACTGTAGAGGTGCTCACCGCTGTCACTGAGTGGACAGTAGGCCTCACCAATCCATGATGTATGAAACAGCTATGCCCAAATGAAGTCCCCCAAGGTACTTTCTGGAACCCTGGAATAATGTTTGGGAAATGGAGAATGGGTGGAGGGTTTCTTTTAACTTAAGATAAAGAGAAACCTCCTCTTCACTCTTCATTCTTACAGCATAGACACTAGAGGGGTCAAGAGTGGTATTTAAAAGGTTTGGATAATTCTGTGCCAAAGACATCCTCAGAGGCTTTACAGAATACTACTTAAGCATGTAGAGGCAAACAACCAGGTTTAAATCCTGGCTCTGTCACTTTTTAGCTGACCTTGGGTGAGTTACTTACATATTTAATTCTGTTTTAGTTCTTTTATCTATAATATGGAGATGGTAGTAGCACCTATCTCATGAGGCTGTTATAAAGACTGTCTGTGTTTATACATTCAGGGGCTTAGAACAGCAGACAAATAGTAAACAAGAAATGGGAAACTTTTACTTTTGGTGCTGGGAATTGAACCCAGGGCCTGGATCATGTTAAGAATATGCTCTACCACTGAGATGCACCCCAACCATACTTTTTTGGTTATCTTAATTTTAAAAACTAGCAAGAAATAGAATCTTGTGGGAGGGAACTAACATTTATTGAGAACCTATTATGTCTAGACACTTGTACGCATTATCTCATTTAATCATGAGACTAACTAGGTAAGAGAGGCATTTTTCTTCCTGTTTTACAGATAAGGAAACTAGAGCTTAGAGAGATTAAGTACTTTCTCAAATCTATGTGGGTAAAATTCTAACTTACTCTTTTGGAATCAAAAGCCTACAATTTTCCCATACACCAGCACTTCTCAAATGGGGTTTTATAAACCTCTGGTAGGGACCCTAAAGAACTATTCTCTCTATCCAAGAACTTTTCTGGCAATTTCAAATTTTCAATATGTCATCTCAATGATAATCTTTAAACAGATATGCTCTGGATCTCCTGGAGGATTGGCTCAAGAGTGCACTTTGAGGACATTTGAAGATTGCCTTATGTTCACGATGGTGTAGTTACAAGTGTCATACCATAACTGTCTCAGGCCAGTCCGAAAAGAACAGTGAACCTCACAATGCACTCATGCTAAGGGACAGCCAAATTACATCATCATGGTTCAAACAGAAAAAGGAAAAGGTAGAACAAGCACTTCTGGCTCTGTACCTGGTGGGGTATACATTGGACTCAAGCTCAAAATCTGCCCCCAAGCATTGGGCCATAGTCACATTTGGAATAGTGATTTCAATTTCAGCCATACCCTAACTGTTGTGTCAAACTAATGTCATTATATTGAAATCTCACCTTTTAGTTGTGTTTTGATTTAAATTATAAATTTTGCTTTTATAGCTGCAGAAGAGATTTATAATTGCACAAGAGACTTATACCTGGTTTTATGCTATACATCAAGTAAAATAATTCAAAAGTCAACGTTGAGCGTGAAGAGGAGGTTTCTCTTAAAGGGGGCCCATACATACTCATATTTGAGAAGATTTCTATTGCATCACACTGCTTTTCCAGACATAGAAAAGGACATTTAAAAAACACCCAGAGCTATATTATAGATACAATTGACTTCTGGAGCAAAAATATATACACTTAACCTAGCAATGACATAGGATTCAGAAAATGCAAGATGGCATGACTGGAGAGAAACTGAAGGAAGAAGGCATATCATTAGCTGATCCTATCAGATCTCTGAGGAAGCAGTGCTGGAGAAGTGAACTGTGTAAAACAACGTTTAAGCACAAATGTATATTCATGGTAACCCTCCCCAGTGAATGTCTGTGACAAGTCAGAGATTTGATTTTCTTTTAGGATGCCAGCAGCAAGCCTCAAGCAAGTATCCGTGTGATTCAGGAGATATTCTAATAGCTTTGAGAAAGTAGGTTGTTAGTAGGAAGACAATTCAGGACTGAATGAAGCAAAATCGCCCAACTTACATCTGCTGGACAAAATTGGAGACTTAGTCTTCATGTACAAGAAAAACAGGCAGTTCTATAAAACCTAGATTGTAGATTTAAATCATCTGGCTCAGGGCCACTGAAATTGAATGATAAACATGTTTATGGAGTCAGTATTGAGTTCTCAGGGCCAACAACCACATCAGCAGATGTGGAGTGTACCCTCCCTTTGGCTAGAATACAAGGCTTTTAATTATGAATAAAGTCAATGGCTTCCTGATTGATTGGTGTAGAACACTTTGGGAATGCCAACTACTGAAGCATCATAAGATAGCCTTTTAAGACACCATTAAGATCATGGAACAGCTTTGTGCCTAAAAGAATAAAATGTGTTCTCCAAAGTCCCACACCAACACAGGTCATTTCCTTATCCTTGACTTCCAACTTGCAATAACTATCACAGCCACCAATCTCCTTCCCTGGGCTGCTGAGTGTCCCTCATGTCCCGCTACCCCTCCTTACCTGGTCTTCCACCCCCTCCCTGGAACCTGAATTACTTAGTGCCACCCACAGGGGACCTGGCATGTGCACACATGTACACACACACACACACACACACACACACTTGAATGAAAGTTTGCTAAGGAGGGCGGTGGTGTTCCCTCTCTCAGTTCTGCAACCGTTCTCAGACCTATCTGTATTTTAACCTGGCATTACATATATTTCAAAGGCAGACGTTGACACTTCTCAGACAATGTGATTTTCCTCTGTTCCAAACTGCCTTAGGTAAGCACCAAGACTGAAACTCACTGTCAACACCTGTTGTACCTTTAAACACATCTGCATCTTGATGTCTGCTCCCTGCTCCCCCACTACCCCCACCAGGACTCAGTCCCTTGTGAGGCTTGGTTCTGGGTAAGGCAGAGCCTCCCTTATTCCCCTCTGCCTGCTGTGGCCTGTCTCCCTTTCCTGTGGGAAGGCGACTGTGGGGACAGCTGGAAATAGATCTGAAAGCTGGAATGGAGCACATCTACATTCCATAGCCTCAGTGAAAAAAAAAAAAAAAAAAAAGGAGTTGGTGGAGTTGCCAAAACCAGGAGTAAAACCTGTTCAGATAGACCTTTGAGAAACCGTGAAAGATCTAATATTTCAATGGTCAACTCCTCTGAAAAAAATGTTATGGAAACAAAATGACAAACTTTTGTTCATTTTGATAAAATATATTGATAGAAATCAAGAGAGTGTCCAGGTTATTTAAGCCTGGCATGTTGATGAATTATATTGAGGACCCTAAACAAAGGCCCACAGGGACCAGGCAGTTAATGTGACATGGAGGAGAGGGACAGAGGTATTCAGAGGGAAAAAGGACAGAACCTCTTACTGTTCTTCCAGGGTATGTGGAACTATTGTTCCCAGATCTGATATTTCTTTATTTTCTTTCTTTTTCTTTTCTTTTTTTTCCTGGCGAGGTTGGAACCCAGAGCCCTGTTCATGCTAGGCAAATACCTTACCACTGAGCTACAGCCCTTATCTGATTTTTAAGGAAAGCTCTAAATTTAATATGTGTGTATGTATATACTTGTGCATGCATGTGAAATCTGTTTTAAAATGTTGGCTCAGCTTTATAAAAAGCAGACCAAACACAATTTATATTCCACCTCTGCTGTAGATTCAGAGAATTTGTTCAGGGTAAAGTTTAAGAAAAGACAACTGGAAAAGAGACATCAGCTAAGTATCAAGTTCCAATATACTTAGGGTTTCCTAAATAATGTAGTGAATGCTACCCTAGTCCAAATGCAGTTACAATTCCCATATTTATGCTAGCAACTCAACAACTTAAATTCTCTTTGATATAATTTGCATGGTTCAATTTCCTTCCTCCTTCTTGCCCTTTTTAAGGTAAGAGTGAAGTTTCAGTTTTTAGTGTCCACAGGGCTAACTTGGCTCAGGAAATGAACAGCTTACCTAACCCTGACTGAGTCAATTCAATCTGTCTTTTCCTCTAGGAACACTTGTATTCAGACAGTTTTTCGGGTTGGGGCAAGGAGGGAGACAGATGAACAATAGTGTCTTCACTTCAACCTCTAACTAGAAATATTCCCTGAGACACTGTTGTCAGAAAGGGAACCACAGCTCTAAGCTGTACCCACAGGGAAGGAGTCATCGTCCAGGTGGCAGATTCCTTATATTCCTGTTAAAATGAGGTTTCTTCCTGAAATTTCTTGGAGATCTAGAATTTAAACCTATGCCATTCTCTCATAGATGATCAGAAATCATTGAAAAATTCCTGCCTGAAGAGACAGAGATACCTGCCTCACCTCACTCCTTCCACTACCACTTTGGGAGGCACCTACCTCTCACAAGAGGCCCAAGTGGCTGGGGCCCGCCACTCACCTTCAGAGTTTCTAAGAGCGACACAGACAGCCAAGGTCATGAGGGTGAGTCCTGTCTGCTGCATTTCTCCCTGATCCACTGGCTGGGACAGCACCGCAGGAGAGGCTGTGAGATCAGGAAATAAAGCTAAAGGTGTCCTCAGGTGCAGAGAAAGAGCCGGTAAGCCAGGTAGCCCCGCCCTGGGAGGTGCTCAGGGCATCTGTTGCCATGTTTCTTTTCTTACACGACTAGGTGCCTGCCTGAATTGTCAAGCTCCCAAACTAATGTGTGTTCATATTGCCTGGGGGTCAGAGGACATCAGTGGCCATCTGGCATTTGGCAAGATCCCTGTAAATTGTGAATATGCATCAGAATCATTTGGGAACCATTAAAAAAAAAAAAGCAATCTACGTGAGTGCCCTTCCCATGCATACACCTATAAATCAGATTCTGAGGTAGGGTACCAGCCATTTGAATTTTATAAAATCTCCATAGCTGATTCTGATGGACACTTCTGTTGAGAACCACTTGCCTACAAGGAATTGGTTTTTAGTAGCTTGAGACCAGGAGTTTCTGGGGACAAGGGTAACAAGTCATAAAAAAGTTATTATCTCTGTGGAAAGATATGGAAAAATTCTGCCTCCCTCTGTCTTGGTTCACAGCCAGTTTGTTTCCAGTGAAGATTTTAGCTGATTTCTGAGAAGGCTGAGGCAGGTACAGGACAGCACATGTAGAAAAGAGCCCCAAGGCAGCATAGGATCATGGTTCTAGATCAGCTTTCTTGCGTATCAGCTTCATGAAGCCATGTGTTCTAACACTGCCTCGTCTGCTACTTAGTGGTATAATCCCAGGAAATATAATACTTTTCTATAAGTAGCAGGTCAGTCTGGATGACCTCGGAAGTTATACCATTCTTCCTCTAGAACTGTGCTGTTCCACTAGTCGACATATGGCTCTTGAGCCCCTGAAATGTGGCTAACTCATATTCAGATGTATCATAGGTATAAAATACCTATCAGATTTAAAAGACTGAATATGTAAAAATAAGACAAATTATCTCATTAATAATTTATGTATTGACTACATGTAATGTTTTTGGACATATTGGGTTAAATAAAATATATTTTTAAAATCAATTCACCAGTTTCTTCTTTACGTTTTAAAATTACTGCAATGGTTCTAATATTTTTGTTTCTTCTGAAACTCATGTGGAAACTTAGTCCTCATTGTAACAGTGTTGAGAGGTTGGGAGGTGTTTAGGTCATGAGGGTGGAGCCTTCTGAATGGAAAAACACCCCAAGAAAGAGGACGGGTTGGGTCTCTTCTGTCATGTGAGGACACAGCATCACTCCTCTCCAAAGGATGAAGCAATAAGGCACCATCTGGGAAAGAGAGGCTGAACCTGTCAACACCTTGACTTGGCACTACCCAGCTCTATAATGCTACCGAAGAAATTCTGTTCATTAAATTACCCAGTCTTAGGTGTTCTGCCATAGCAGCACAAAATGGACTAAGACAACTATATATGCAATCTAAACCCAGAATATTTTAAATTACACATGTAGATCACATATCTACATTGGGCACTGCTGCTTTAGAATGAAATTAAAGGTGATTATTGGATAATAGGAGTCACTATTAATCCAACAGGACAAAATTTACACAGATTTAATAGGGGACTGACAAGAAAACTGGAACCCTTGTGAGCCTAGGATTATACAGACCCTCTGCACTCCAGGGTATACCTCTCATTTGCTTCTTTATTTGATCGATTGACTTCTCTTTTATTGTTGTGTGTTTCTTCTGCTATGAAATGCCACTGTGGCCCTGCTGGGAAGAAGGCATTGGGGACAGAACCGAGGAATATGTGTAGTATAGTATAGTATAGTATAGTAGTATAGTATAGTATGTGTCTCTCTCTCTCTCTCTCACTACTTCCTGAGGGCTTTGGAGTGAGATGGTGTGTTGAGGGCCACAGCCGAGTCGGGATGATGCATGGCATTTTTGCCAGAAGTAGTGGTTGAGAGGTGATGCCAGCGAGCCATTAAGATGATGACTTTTGAGTTCTCACAGGGATTCCTGAAGAGTTCGCGTTGGTTGGTGAAGTTCGGTGGAGGGATTTCCGGTTGGTGTGTGGTGTGTGCCTGGAGGAGCCGCGTGGGTGGCCTTCGGGAGAGTTCCCGGGGAGTGTGCTGGTGGAGTTTTGAAATAAAGTTTGTTCCTGCTTGAGTGGCTCGTGATTTGTGCCCAGTTACCCTGCGGCAATGGTGAATAGGGGCTACTGGAGGGTAGTTGGCATAGCATGTAGATACATGAGTTACTATCATTAGAATCACAGCCTTGGGGCAGGTATTGTCACCCTCTTGTTAAAAAGAAAAACTGACACCCAAAAGCAGAAGCTTTTAAGCCACGAAATAACCCTACGAACCAAGATATGAATGAAAGGAATACTGAGCAGATTAGTTTTAATGAAGGTGAGGGGGAAATTGAATCGTGGGATTTTTGTCTGGAGAGAATGTGGTACAAGCTATGATTATGGGGTACACATGTCTGTGTGTGAGAAGGGTACTCAATAGGCAGGCATGGACCAGAATTAAGTAGGAAAGAGCCCCCGAAGGGCTGGCATATATTAGGCAGCTTTGTGTTAGTACAACAAAATACCTGAGACAGTTAACTTGTAAAGAGAAAAAGGTTATTTAGCTCATAGTTTTGGAGGTTCAAGGGCATGGCATTGGCATTTCAGGTCTCAACTGTGAAACATTATGGTGGAGGTGTGTGTGTGTGTGTGTGTGTGTGTGTGTGTGTAAGAAGCTTATATCACCATTCAGGAAATGGAGGAGAGACTGGCATCCCACAGCTCCTTTTCAGGGCACACCTCCAACAACCTAGGTACTTACATTTAGGACCCACCTCCCAAATTTCTGCCACTTCACAACCAGCACCACCCCAGAGACCAAGACTTTAATAACAGTGGATCTTTAGAGGATATTCAGACCACAACCAAACTATAGCTGATTCAGAACTTCCATTATTTAATTTTATTATTATTATTGATACCAAGGATTAAACCCAGAGGCGCTTTACCATTGAGTCACATCCCCAGCCTGTTTTATTTTTTATTTTGAGACAGGGTCTCATTAATTCGATTTGCGATCCTCCTGCCTCAGAATCCTAGGTTGCTGGGATTATTTAAATATTTTTAACTGGTCTTAGGGCTTCTATAAAAACAAATGAGAAGAAGACTGGGAAATATGGGACATTAGGGCCTACAGCAGAGTTAGAGGACAGAGACATAGAAGGAAACACTTTGAGGACAACCTAAAACTATTTATGTGGCTTCCTAATTCACATTGTGAAATGTCCCTTGCTAAGAACATCTGGATGTAACAATCTTTTGGAAATATTTTTTTCTTTACCAGGGAAAAATCAAATAGTTTAAAGAGAAGTAAAATGATGTGCATGAGCCTGGAAGACATTAGGTTTCATGCAGTAAATCAGACATAGAAAGACAAATACCACAAATACCATGTGGAAGCTAAAAAGTTGACTTCATAGAAGTGGAGAGTAGAATAGTGGTTACCAGAGCCTGGGAAGGATAGGGGGAAGTGAGGCTGGAGAGAGGATGGCTTACAGGTATAGGGGTGCAGTTGGGTAGGATGTCATAGAGCACAGAAGAGTGACTATGATTGATGGCAATTAATTCTATGTCTCAAAATAGCTAGTGAAAAGGGTTTTGAACATTCCCAACACAAAGAAATGATAAATGTTTGAGGTGATGGATATGCCAATTATTTTGATTTGATACAGTGTAGATAAGTATTGAACGATCACACTGTACTCCACAAATATGTACACTATTATGTCAATTTAATACCTATGGATATGTATGTATGGATTTATATCTATATATACTTATGTATCTCTATATGTGTATCTTTAGACATATGTATAATAGAGACTTCAGCCTTTCATAAAAATATCTGCTGCCATCCATGATTTGGGTAAAATGATCTGTTTGAATTAGGAGGATGAAGAAGATTTCTAAAGAGTAGCTTTCACAAAATAAAAGTAAGACTGTAAAACTTCCTTGACCATCTGTCTTGAAAACTAGTATATGCCTTGTTCTCTGCTTTATGAGTGTTCCCATCATGCTGTTTCATAGGTGCCTATGTTATTTTATTGTGAATTTTAGCTTTGAATATTTGTCTCTTTAATGTTTTTAAATTGATTTCTACCTTTTATTCTATGGTTCTTTTTGCTTGTATTTGCCTACTTGGCCATATTTTTTATTTGTAACATTTCTGAATAAATTTGTTGTAGTTATTTACATTTTAAAATGAGGAAAGACAACTCGTATATGTATGCACCGTTTGCAAGCTCATACCATTTAAATGTCCTAAGATGATGTCAATTTAATAAACCCTTTCCATAAATCCTTTGGTACTGAGAACAAAGAACTTTTAACCTTTGTGATATCTGAGTTCTAGTTTATAGTTAGTGAATTCGTTAAAGCGGGACAGAGTCAAACAAGGGTATCACATTAAAAACTAGATTATAAATGTTTGTTTTAGTTGGCTATTTGCTGCTGTGACTAAAGGACACAACCAGCACAACTGTAAAGGAGGAAAGGTTTATTTGGGGGCTTATGGTTTCAGAGGTCTCAATCCATATACAGCGAGCTCCATTCCTCGCAGCTCGAGGTGGGGCAGGAACAACATGGCAGAATAATGTGGCAGAGGGAAGCAGCTCACACAGGGATCAGAAAGCAGAGAGAGAGAGGTCTTCACTTGCCAGATACAAATATATACCCCAAAGCCATGCCCCCAATTCCCTCCTCCTCCAGCCACACGCTTCCACTTCAGTTAGCACTCAGTTAATCCCTATTAGGGGATTAATCCACTGATGAGGTTAAGATTCTCACAACCCAACCCAATCATTTCTCTTCTGAACCTTTGTGTGTGTGTGTGTGTGTGTGTTGCTGGGGATTGAACCCAGGGCCTTGTGCATGTGAGGCAAACACTCTACCAACTGAGCTCTGAACCTTCTTGCAAGGTCTCACATGTGAGCTTTTAGGGGATACCTCGT